AGGGAGAGGGAAGGGCTTTTCTTACACACCAGCAGCAAATATAACAGACTGCTGTTTGCACGGTGCTTTGAGGGCACAGCACCACCCACGAGAAGGGGGTCAGACCCCCGAGGGCAGAGCGAGACCCCCTCTGCGGTGGCACTACCTCTCCCCTGACCTGCTGAGCCCAAGCAGCCTCGCGGGGTGTGGGGGCAGAGAGCTGGGCAGTTCTCAGTGCCAAACTCCCCTGCATCCACTCACAGGCAGAAACAGGACTGAAGGTGCAGGAATGAAGCGTTCGCATTCCCGGACTCACAAGGACCTCAGGAAATCAAGGGGTTTGATAATTTCTTTATAATTGTGAAATCAAGGGTTTTCTGATAAGCCAGCAAACGTCCCCCTGGGCCAAGCAATGCCCAGTACCGCCCAGGCCCAGCCAAGACCCACCAGGTCCTAGCAACAACCACCCTGCCGTAAAATGTTTTTCACTCAAGCACGCAGACAAGGATCACCCAAACCCAGAAAACCCAACCTTCTCTCTACTACATTTTCTCCATGCTTGAACACAGCATCTCTGTCCATCACAGGCTGTCACCTAGTACTGTCCCTAAGGCAGAGTGGGGTGTTTCGCACCCCCCGTGGTGCTGTGCGTGCACCTCCAGACATGCTCATGTTTCCCGATGATCTAACAGCAAGAACAGGTCAAATTCACAAGCCAAAAAAATCTAGTTTTTTACATCTGTTCAAGCACAGTTTTTGCAAGACCAGAGAACGAGAACACCGCAGCCGGGCTGCGCAGTCAGCAGCCAGGGCTGGTGGCTCTGGCAGACGCCGGCACCGTGGGCAAGAGGCTCTTGCAGTCCGGCAAAGCGCGGCAGCGCCGAGCCCTGCCGGTTGTGGCAGCGTGTCGAGGGAGGCCGGGGGTGAAGTGCTGTGTAAGCACACGCTGGCAGCCAGCCCACGCGCAGCTCACCACTTAAACCACAGATCACCAAACAACAGAGTTATGCTTCAAAGAGGGTTTTTTTTTTAGTTTTATTTCGGAGAGTATTGGCTGAATGAAGAGAGGAAAGAGGGAGGGATGTGGGGGAAGTTCTGAGGGAAGAAAGAACAGGGGCTGCAGGGGAACAGAGAAGGGAATTACACTGGGAGAGCTGCACAAGGTTGACAGCAACGCAGAGGACCTTGCTTTGGCAGCTCCTGAAGATGTTCCCCCCCAGCTCCCAGCTGCCTCCTTTATAGCTGCTCCCTTTTTCCTCCATCAGGTGAGGAAATGCTCTTTAAACCCTGCTGGCTACTGAGCAGCGGCTCCGCGTGGTCCCAGCTGGACCCCATTTTATTCCCCTCCTCACCATCACTGCCCCTGCTGCAGCCTCCCCGCCGGTCAGCCGCTCTCCAGCTTGGCTGGCAATTTTTCCTGCCCAGGACCACAGGAGTAACCCAGACCTGCGGGTGGGGAAGACCCACCTCGCAGTGCTCCTGGGACAGCAGAGTTGGTCCTGCTGCATCTGACAACCATCCCAAAACCCACCACCACTTGGGATCTCTTCTGGGTTACTTCATTCTCCAGGCAGAGGCTTTTCCAAAAGAGCAGGAGGCAAAGGGAGAACAGGGATCCCCTCTCAGCCTGTGCAGCGAAGCCGAAGCAGGGGGAAGCATCGCCACCCTCAGCCGTTGTGGGAATGGCTCCCACTCCCGCAGGGTAAGGTTTTGAGCAATCCCTGTGGTTTCAGAGGCACCACTTGATTCAAGCTTTCTAAATCGGGACCAGAGACCGGGCTCTTCTCAGCAGATCTCTTGGCTGAGCCAACACTCTATCGTTGACAACTGCTTCAAAGCCAATGAGCCCAAGACCAAACACTCCCTGGAACAAACTCTCCAATTTCTATCCAGCTGCCTCCATCAGAGCAGCATGTGGATCCTGCGTGGGACCAACTGCCGATGCTCTCAGCCTGGCCTCTGCGCAGAGGCAATGTCGATGACAGCACGAGGAACTGTCGACTGCTTGGCTCTGTCATCCCCTCCCAAGATCTCCAGCAGGCACAGGTTCTGCCCGGGGCATGTTTTCCCTGAGGATTTTTTTGAGGAGAAATTGGCACCAAGGGTTGCATTAGCCGGAGCACTGCCCTTGCCTTCAGCAAGGTGGGATTTGTGGAGCGGACTCCAGGGAACTCGGCCACTGACAAGACAAGGGCCGTCGGCACAGCACTGAGAAGGGAAAGGACTCCGTCCTGCTCGGCAGCTAAAGCCCTCCGCGCGTCCCGGGCACTTGAATTGCAGAGACTCCCTGCGCTGAGCTGCTGCGAGGCAGGGCAGGGTGCAGGGGCTGGGGGGGCACGCTTCGCGCCAC